AAAACATTTTTTCAGAGGTGATTCCGAATCGAATGAGCTATCGCTCATATTTTAAGGAGCTTTATCTCTATTTTTCATGTTTTTGAAATTGCTGATTAGACTAGTTGGTTCTACCCTTCCATCTTCCACAGGCAGATGGGGTGATGACAAACCTGTTGATTGTTGTCCGTTTCAGTCCAGTTCGAGAAATAATACTGTGAAGGGTTTCGATTTTCAATTATCGGAAATCATCGACTTTATGTTGATGATAGACCCCACCTTGCACTGACGAGTGGCCAAACAGCCCGAAACCGGTCTCCAAATGTGTTCCAATAATTGAAAATCTATTGCGGCAGTTGTATCGCCAATAGTGTATGCAGGAAAAACCATCAGTGAAGAATCCTGCACTGACACCTGTCGGATATAACTCAATGCCCTCCGTTGTATTAGCCAAGGGAGTCATTGTTTTCTGATAGGTGTCATCATCTACAGTGTAGGGAGTTGAGACTTGCCTGAACGAACTGTTCCTTCAGATGATATGATTCATAGCCAGTCTTCAAGTATGCCCACTGACTATATGTAAAAAAAGATTTGATTTCTCTAGTGACTTTCTTAGCCGAACATTACCGCAATGAAATGTCAAATGAAAGCATTCCAGGAAGTTTGAAGTAGATATAGCATCACTCATCTGCATATCATTGAAATTGGAGCAACTATGATGTAGTTCAACTAAAAACATTGTCGAATATGCAAGTAGTCAACAACCTGCACTAATCTTCGAGTTTGGATGCGATATCAACTGAATGACGAAGTTCGGTGAGTGAGATATTTCCCTTAGTTCTATTTATGAAGTCACTTCGTTGTTAGATATTGGAATTTCCAAGAAAGAAGTACAGAATATCCAACAACTTCAAAAATGATTTGGTTGGTTATCGGGTTTTTGACGTAGTCTTCAGTAAGATGCCTGCCGCAGTTGCAGTTGAAACGTTTGGAGATTGTAATCAAAGAAAACCAAGGCAAAACCTGGAAACTAACCACAACATTGACGCCATTCCTGTATTAACTTCAAGAATGATTTTCTGATGATTTTAACAGAAACCTTTGACTTTATACAAAAGAAAACTCAGTACTACACGCATTAGTGGAGATGAAATCAGTATCTAATCCAGTAGCATATGCATCGTTACATATCATTGAAAAAGTTGATTACTTCGAATGAGCAGTATTCAAAACGACCCACCCTGAATAACTTTTGGTACGATGATTCGCTGGAAAAATAAAAAAACGTCAACCACAGTATACAGGGAGACACATTTTGACATATTCACATTTGATGTTACTTCCCCTATCGCACCCCTGGAGCAAGTCACCATTTCTTTTCAAATGAATCACCCTATATTGTTTCGCATTATCAGATGCTCCATGATGATCAGATTTCTGAAGCTTATAGTTCGGGAGCTAATAACTTCAAGAATGATTTTCTGATGATTTTAACAGAAACCTTTGACTTTATACAAAAGAAAACTCAGTACTACACGCATTAGTGGAGATGAAATCTACATATCATTGAAAAAGTTGATTACTTCGAATGAGCAGTATACAGTGCATTCCATTCAAAACGACCCACCCTGAATAACTTTTGGTACAATGATTCGCAGGAAAAATACAAAAACGTCAACTACAGTATACAGGGAGACAAATTTTGACATATTCACATTTGATGTTACTTCCCCTATCGCACCCCCGGAGCAAGTCACCATTCCTTTTCAAATGAATCACCCTATATTGTTTCGCATTATCAGATGCTCCATGATGATCAGATTTCTGAAGCTTATAGTTCGGGAGCTACAAATTATTTGAGTTGAAAACGAGCCTCCCTGAATAACTTCTGAAACAATGATTTTCAGGAGAAATAAAAAAATACCTCAACAAAAGTATACAGGGGGACACATTTCAACATATTCGTTCTAGAGACAAATATGAAAGCAATAAATCAGAAAAAGAGATTTTTTTTGATTCTTGAATCAAAATCTGATGACTGAACAATGAAAAAAAAATGTAAAGTAAATGTTCAAAAACATTTTCACCAACATCCATACAATGCTACAAACGAGCTACCATTGCCGTCCTCACATGGTGGAGAATCTCGGGAGTTATTTCTCTGCAACGCCTGATGACAAAATTTGTTAAGGTTTGTGGTTCAAAAGGAGTGAACAATCCGCTTCAACCTCATTAGTGTCCAATTTCAACTTCGGGACTAGATAATTCCATAGTATGCAGCAAAAAAATTAATCGCAAGCATGTTTCTGAGTCGAGGTTCATGAAAATTACCGACAATCAATACCCATAAATGAATTTCCACATACAATCGACTTCCGTTCGGAATGAAAATTTCGCATTCAATATTTCAATAAATCATGAAAACTATGACATCAGGATTGGAAAATAGAGCAGCAAACATCGATGACATGATTTCGAGCAACAATGAAAACCTGACAAATGTCTCGCACAAAATTTAAGATCGTGGATTCCACTTTGATATCCAGAAAACTAGTTTTCTCTTTCTGAAATCAAATATTCAAAACATGACATGATCAACATCAAAACCCGATCCAGCCAGGATTCAATCAGTAGTTCATATTACTGCATCGCATGATATTTGTACGAATGCACGAAATACGAAGAACCAATAAATCGACTTCTCAAGAAAAATACAAAATAGAAATGGAATCAAGAATGTCATTCAGGAGAGTTGAAGAAATACTCCCATGTATGTTATTGAATTGGCCAAAACTGGTGAAAATCTATAACTTATTCAAGTTACCAAAGTTGTGAAAGTTTCACTGAATACTTTACAAAACCGCAATACATGTGTCGCTATAGAATAAACGTATAAAAACGCACTAACATCTTTTCAGGACACATTTCAATTGGGTTTTTTTATTGTGGTAGCCACAAAGGCTTCAAAGATTTGCATTGCATTGTTCTTTTTTCCATAAATTGAAAGACGATCAAAGAAAAACAATCTATCACGCTCTCAGATATTTAACAGAAATGTATCAGAAGTATGGCAAAATAGAGAAGAAAGCTCTAGCCCTTTTATTTGCAGCAAAAAATTGCATCGCAATATTCAACGAATGAAGAAAAAAGTGAAACTAATTGAAAGGAACAATCATCAAATATATGAAAATGAATAAACTGAAAAGTTGATAGTTTCTGACGGACAGAACTTCACGAAAAACTTCACGAGAACTTCACAGTTCATCAAAGACTCAAAGAAATTGTCTGCCAAAGTTTTATAGAATATTCGCATGAAGCAATAAAACGTACTATTTTATAATAAACTAGTAATACTAAAGATCAGCCCATGTAGCTGATTCAAGTAGACTTTTTGGGGAAATCTATCAGATACAAGAAAGAAGAAATGTCCTTTAATGTAAATAGATGAAGTTGTTCATTTTTTTCATCATACCTTGACAGAGAGGATGACCATACTTCAGAAGTTTTACAAGAATATATAGGAGCACTTCTCATGGTGCATGTAGTATAGGTCACTTGCTGTTGCCTGTACTGAATAATGAAAAATTATGGAAAATTCTTCAAAACATTGTTTAGAATAGCGGACATATAAAAAGATTACGAGGTGGAGGTGTACATTATAAGCTACATAATAGAAGAAATTCAATGGAAAGGTAATAAAGTATAACTTTTTATACTATTCACACATGAATTTCGTTGAGCTAGTTCGAAATAGAATGGAAAAACACAAAATGGGACCAGTGTGAGTGTGGTGAAATCTCAACATACTATCATTTTACTCAAGCGCGTCAAAACCACAATATATCTTCAACTCACCGTAACATCTGCATTCCTAATGGCCCTCCCATCAAGTAACCATGTTAGTTTGGCAGGCGGATAAGATCCGGAAGTTTCACATCTGATGTTTTGTGACTTTCTCACACTTATTAAATCATTTGGGCTCACAATCTTCACTTTGTTCGGTTTCACTGAAAAGAAGAAGAGTGATTGGTGATCAGTGGTGATACACAAAACTATGATGAATATTCATTATTTATTCTGAAACTCAGGGAATTAGGGAATTTTGAGGCACAAAGCAGGAGGGCGTACAATCCAACGCCCTATAAATTATGCGTTGAGACGGTTCTTGTTAAAATACACCGTCTCTTATATATGCGTTGGTTTATAAGAGACAATGCATATCAACAACGACCATCTCAATGATGCATATGCAGCGTATTAATAATTTCGTTGTTGAAATACATTGTCTCTAATGAATGAGCCAATGTAAATGATCATCTAGTTGCAAAATTGAAAATGGTTTTCAAAAAAGTCCGTTCGTGATACTCTCAATGGTCAGTATGTAGACGTGCGGCGCGTCACTGAAATACAATAACAACAATACATCAGTCCACACAGAAGTTGATTATCATGAACCGCTTCATTTATATATTTCAGATATGAATATTGACCAATTTCAAAGTCAAGAATCAGTTAACTTCATCTATTCCAGATCTACCTCCTCTCCACATTTTTTCAGGAGAAAGAGGCTGGATGGACTGCATATAGACTTGTGCACATTGCCAATTGCACAAATCAATTTAATGCAGACTGCAACAAACTATATATTTGTTGACACTGGAAGTTACAGCATTCTGGAAATGACCTCTGACTTTATGCCTCCAACTGTCAACTACGAACTGCTTCATAAACTACTGTTCCCTCTTTCGGATTCTCCGAAAGAGGGGAATATTGAGAGCAGATAGTTGCTGTTTCACAGATGGATCAAAAACATCTACCGGTTCTGGTGCAGGTGTTTTCAGTCGCAGACCCAGGACAGAGATATGAACCTGCCTAGGAACGAAAGTGACTGTATTTCAGTTGGAAATTCATGATATTGAATTGTGAGCGGGAAGATTCTTTCAATCTTTCCGCTCACAATTTCATGGACCTGAACACAAGTCAATAAAAAAATCCTCTCGGACAGTCAAGCAGCGTTGGAAGCTCTTGGCTGCTACCGATCAACGTCTAAATTGGTAGGAAATTGCCAAAAGCGACTTTCTCAATAGGAAGACTCAACAGATTGTCTCTGGTCTAGATACCCGGCCATACTGGCCTGGAAGGCAATGGGGCTGCTGACTCCCTCGCAAAAGGAAAAGGCTGGATGGACTGCATATAGACTTCTGCACATTGCCAATTGCACAAATCAATTTAATGCAGACTGCAACAAACTATATATTTGTTGACACTGAAAGTTACAGCATTCTGGAAATGACCTCTGACTTTATGCCTCCAACTGTCAACTACGAACTGCTTCATAAACTACTGTTCCAGAGTAGAGAGGACTGGATTCTCCGGAAGAGGGGCATATTGAGAGCAGATAGTTGCTGTTTCACAGATGGATCAAAAACATCTACCGGTTCTGGTGCAGGTGTTTTCAGTTACAGACCCAGGACAGAGATATCAACCTGCCTAGAAACGAAAGTGACTGTATTTCAGTTGGAAATTTACGATATTGAATTGTGAGCGGGGAGATTCTTTCAATCTTTCCGCTCACAATTTCATGGACCTGAACACAAGTCAATAAAAATATCCTCTCGGACAGTCAAGTAGCGTTGGAAGCTCTTGGCTGCCACCGATCAACGTCTAAATTGGTAGCAAATTGCCAAAAGTGACTTTCTCAATAGGAAGACTCAACAGATTGTCTCTGGTCTAGATACCCGGCCATACTGGCCTGGAAGGCAATGGGGCTGCTGACTCCCTCGCAAAGGAGGGGGCTGCAGCTTCATCGAACCAGAACCTGTCATTGGCATCGCTTTAGGCTTTGCCAAACAAACATTGAATACATGGATGGCAAGAAGATTTATGGACTTCCAGTATTGGCTCACTCCAAAGCGTTTATTCACCCTTCGAAACTTGATACCAAACAGTTGTTGGACTACAGTAGAGATGAACTACCATGTCTGAAAGGTCACTGTTATCTGAATCATCATTACATGCAGATACTCGGACTGTCGAAAAATAGTGCTTTTTAGAGTTTGACAGAGCCGTACTCCTACCGTCTGACCTGAAAGACCATCCACCATTCAAGCTAATCGGCTTCATTAAGAAGCTGGGTTTATTTGGTCGAGTGTGAATAGGTGTGAGCGACAATGAACCCTTGCGGGTTGCGGTGGAGGGTCGAATAGACCCACTCACTTTGGACCTAACCTAACCTTCATTTCCTGCAAACGCCAACTTGTTTAGTGAAATGCGTGTCTAGGAGAGTGTTGCAGTTCTGGTATTTAGGAAAACGTATTCGTTTCTAGATTTCTTCTTATTATATTGAGAAATCGCCCTGTAAATAGGTTAATATTTTGAAAAGGGGTAAATAAAATAGTAACACCATCATCATACATTGAATGCTTCTAATGTACATAGACGTTTGAGTGCTTCAATGCCATTGCGCCAGTTTCAACGGGACTCATGCGAGCATCATTATAATACACGTTTGCTCCCAGTCTAAGACTTGATGCATCCGGAAGTACAATACTTCAACGCGCTGAAAATTTTGCGTTTGAGACTAACGAACAGGCGGGAAACATGACGGGACGCGGCTTTTGAGATAAGACAGGACGGCATCTGCCTGGCCCGTCCTCGTCTAGTCCTGGTATGTGCCTGTCCGTTGCCTGCCTTAGTAGGCGCCCCCTATAAGGAACTATAGAAAGGAAACTTCCACATCATGTTCCAATCCTACGCTGTTTTGTCGCAGTGTGCAGGCACCATTATGTATAACGCAAATTGCAACAGGATGGCACAGAACGAGAATATGACGGAACGTGGCCTTCAAGAGACGACACCAAGGAATCTGCCTATCCCGTGCTGACATGTGCCTATCCGTTGCCTGCTTCCATAAGGAACTATAGATAGAAAAAAGAAACTTCACGTCATGTTTCCGTCCTAGCATTTTTCCATCCTGTGCCGTCCTGTCGCAGTGTGCAGGCGTCATTAAGTCTAACGCACACTCCGACAGGACGGGAACATGACGAGACGTATCCTTGGAGCGACGACAGCACATCATCTGCCTGGCCCGTCATGTTCGAGTTCTGGCCTGTGCCTATCCGTTGCCTGCCTTAGAGGAACTATAGAAAAAGAGTAAAGGAACTTCACGTCATGTTCCCATCATGTGCCTTCCTGTGGCAGTGTGCAGTCGCCATTAAGTCTAACGCACATTGCACATTGCACAGGATGGCACAAAACTGGAACATGACGGCACGTGGCCTTCGAGAGACGACAGCATCCTGACATGTGCCTGCACGTTGCCTACCTTAGCGCGTTTCTCACTTCCATAATGAACCATAGAAAGAGAAGAAAAACTTCACGCTATGTTTCCGTTCTAGCATGTTCCCATCCTGTGCCATCCTGTGGAGATATCATCAAGTCTAACGCACACTGCGACAGGACGGGAACATGACAGGTCGTGGCCTTCGAGCGATGACAGCAACGCATCTGCCTATCCCATCCTGGCATGTGCCTTTTAGTTGCCAACCTTAGCGCGATACCGACTTTCATAAGGAATCATAGAAAGAGAAGAAAAACTTCACGTCATGTTTCCGATCTAGCATTTTCCCATCCTGTGCCGTCCTGTCGCAGTGTGCAGGAGTCATCAAGTCTAACGCACACTGCGACAGAAAGGAAACATGACAGGTCGTGGCCTTCGAGCGTCGACAGCAACGCACCTGCCTGTCCCGTCATGGCTTGTACCTTACCGTTGCCTACCTTAGCGCGATACCCACTTTCATGAGAAATCATAAAAAGAGAAGAAAAACTTCACGTCATGTTTCTGTTCTAGCATTTTCCCATCCTGTGCATTCCTGTCGCAGTGTGCAGAAGTCATCAAGTCTAACGCACACTGCAACAGGACGAGAACATGACAGGTCGTGGCATTCGAGCGACGACAGTAACGCATCTGTTTGTCCCGTCCTGGTATGTGCCTTTCCGTTGCCTACCTAAGCGCGATACCCACTTTCATAAAGAATCATAGAAAGAGAAGAAAAACTTCAGGTCAAGTTTTCGTTCTAGCATTTTCCCTTTATGTGCGTCGTCCTGTGCATACCATCCAGGTCGTGGCCTTCGAGCGACGACAGCACGGCATCTGCCTGATCCATCCTGGCATGTGCCTCTAGGTTGGTTCTGGTTCAAACATCCGAAACTTTTTGGAAACTGCGCAAGACATGATGAGTACAAACAAAAAATCTCAAACAGTTCGAAATAGTCTCGGACACTTGCTTAAACCAGAACGCTTTTTAGGAGACCACTGTGCCACCTATCGTATATATGAAGAGATGAAGACAAGAAATTACTATTGATAATGTTCATTTTGTTATGTAGCATATCCTTATAGTCAGTTCAAATGTCAATCGATCAAATCAATTATTCAAATCAAATAATTGAAAAAACATCCTAGCAAATAGGCCAAAAAAATTTCCACATGGATGCGCATAAGCAATGAGAAAAGTTCTCAACAATTCAGTCTCGAGAGCAAGAACGATTCGGGACGGTTCAAAACAGTTCAGGATCATTTCGCAGTCGAAACCAAAACAGAGGATTCATCAGTCCGAAATTATCCTCAATGAACCAGAACGTTTTATATCGACTGCGCATGATCCTGACATCCTAGAACCTGAACTTCGTGGAACCAGAACAAACCTTCTGTGTTGCCTGCCTTAGTGTGCGCCCCCTATAAGAAACTATAGAAAGAAAAACTAAACTTCATGTCATATTCCCGTCCAGGCGCGTTCCTGTCTTGTGTCGTCCCGTTGCAGTGTGCAGACGTCATTAGTTGGACGTTATACGGACGTTGCCTCTTATGATCCAACGCAGATGAACGATGATACGCCCGCGACCAACGTCCGTCTCAATGTGTAGTTTGCAGCGCGTTGATATGTACGTTCGAGTGCACCCAATCTGAAAGTGCTTCTGATGGTGATTTATCCAAAAAAGCATTTTC